CCTCTCCTCTCCTCTCCTCTCTTTCTGTCTCCCTCTGTCTCTCTCTGTCTCTGTCTCTGTCTCTGTCTCTCTGTCTCTCTCTCTCTCTGTGCCACAGGGAAAGGTTTGAAACGGAACGTAACAGCCCACGTTTTGCCAAATTGCGCAAGTGGCACCATGGCCTCTCAGCCCAAATCCTTAACGTTAAAAGCTAAAAGGCTGCACGGAACCCCCGCCCCGCAGGTGGACCCCTCCTCCCCCCACCGGTCTGGCATGTGAGCCCCACGGTGATGCTTGACGATGTGTGATGTGCTGGGGGCACCTCTGGTCGCCAACTGCACCCTCTGCCCGCTCCATCCCCAGGCCACCCCAGCACCCCCACAGCCACCCTGCCACCCGGCCCAGGCCCTTAGTTGTATCCCAGAGAAGTGTGGTGGGGTCCCCTCTGCTCATGCAGAGCCAAGGGAGCCGGAGTGTGCACTTCCCTCAGCTACTGGCTTGTGCTGTCCCCAAGCAAGTCACCCCAGATCAGGGTTCCAGGCCCTGCAGCCCCCTGCCACCCCCTGTATCCCAGGGCACAGGAAGCAAAGGGCTGGATAGATTGGGCAGAGACTGTCCCTCTAGGCTGCAGTGAGACAGGCAGTGCCCTGCCCCTGTGCCACATGCTGCCCTCACCCTCCCTGTACATACAAGCGTGCTTGATCTGAATAAAGAGGATCTGATGTGGACTGATCCTGCGCCCTTGTGCTGTGCCTGCGCACATCTCTGAGAGGGACTGTGGCCATGTCAGGGACTCGGGGCACAGGGACAAATAGTGCGGGCCCGGGGAGCCTGGCTCAGGGGTGCTTTCCTAGCACAGGCCTGTGCCTGGCCCAAAGGACCCAGGGCAGCGGGGATGGCATGGAGATCGTACTGTGGCACTCAGAGGCAGCCTGAGTCTCCCATGAGGACGCTGCAGGACCCCTGCCCTGTCACCCACCAGCTGCAATCGGAAAGCAGAGCCACCCTCTGTTGCCCCGTGAGAGGAGCCTGCAGACCCCTCCTCCCCAGCAGGTGCCAGTCAGGCTCAGCCCGGGTCCAGGAGGCAAGAGCAGGTTCGGGCAGGCTGCCAGTACACAGGCAAACTCAGGGGCCAGCCGGGCTTGGCAGGGAGGAGAGGAAAGGGGCTTGGCAGTCCTGGTAGCAGGAGGAGGGCAAGAAGGCCCCACCTGTGACCCTCCACCTGATGAGGGTGGTCAGGGTGGCACACTACAGCGCCCTGCCTGCCTGTGAGCCCAGCAGCCCAGTCCCCCAGGGCAAGAACCCCAGACTTGGGCCACGAAGGCAGTAGCACTTGGCAAAGGAAGGCAGATGCCAGGGCTCAAGCCTCAAGGCTCCCTGCTCCTCTGAGGCCGGATGGCCCCACCTATTTCCACTGTCCCTGTCTGGACACTGCCTTTTGCCCACCTCTGTGGACTTTTGTGCTCTCCCCTGGGAGCATGGCCGGCAAGCTGTCGCTCCTGTCCACCTCCCCTGAGATGCTTCTCAAAGCTCCTGCCCGGGCTGGGGATAGAGCTTAGCGGCACAAGCACTTGCCTGGAGAGTGCAAGGTTCTGATTTCGATTCCCAGTACGAAAAAAAAAAAAAAAAAGAAAAAAACAGAAACCAAAGCTCCTACCCACCTGTCCCTTCTCTGCCTCCCTCTATTCTTATCTCCGACAGTCAGTTGCCAGGGCCAGGGCATCCACCTGGCTGGGCATCTGCATCAGGAGGAAAGGGGCACCTGCATTCCTCTAGGGAGCCTGGAGTGCACTGCATTTGGTGGAATTTTGAGTGAGGACTTGTAAGACCCAAGGGTAGGCTTAAAGAGAAGTCCTAGGTAGTGGGCACCTGAGGCTGGCAGAGGAGCCCTGCCGGTCTCTCACACTTGGTCAGCCCTAGGACCCCTGTCCCCAGCCCTTGGGAACCTTCTTGGGGCTGCTCTGTTACAGTTCTGGAGGCTCTGGTTCGCTTTCTGGCTCTGGTGCCCTCAGCTACCCAGGCCCCTGTGTGCAGTGCCCTGTGTGGCCCCCGACATGGGTGCATGCGGAGCCCTCTGTAAGTGGGAAAGGTGTCTGGGTGCTGTGCGTGCTAAGAAACCAGACAGGGGCTATGCTATTGGGACTGCAATGTGAGGTGGACCCTTCGGGTTCGTTCCACTGGAGGATCTGGGGCTCCAGGATGAAGTCCACATGTTTGATCTTCAGGAGTGGGCAGGACTGGGGTGTCACAAGTAGGGAAGGCTGGGAAGCAGAGGGACAGCAATGCTGATGGGAAGGAAGTATCTGGCCCCAGGGGCATCAGCTGGCTTGGACTGGAGGGGTGTGGAAGAGGCGATGCTCAGTGTGTCAGTGTCTGCACCTAGGAGCCGTTTCATATCGAGCCCTCTGACTGGCATTCCGTCATCATCCGATCGACAGGGATTATCTTAGCCACACAAGTAGTTCAACCACGGCATCTACACCATCAGTGCCAATCGCCCCAGCCTGCCATGACCCACAGTTCCTAACCTGAGACCAGTGACTACAAATCCCATGACTGAGCACCTCCCCAAATACCCGCCCATCCAGACAACATCACTGTCATCAGTAACAGCATCCACCGAAGGTCACCACCAAAGGCCACCACCCCAGAGCAAGGGCACTGGACAGGCACATTCTAGCTTGTTGGTAGAGGGCAGCAGCAAGCTGAGCAAGGGACTGTAGCCAGATGTGCTCTCTCCTGCACCCCCCCACCTCTGAACATGGAGTCTGGTTTGCTTGGCTTTGACTTTTGCTCAGATGGGTGAGGGTGGGGCTCTGCAGCAGAGCATGTGCTGAACGGGTGTGAGGTCCTGGGTCCAATCCCCAACACCAAAAATAAATAAAGAGAATTCTGGCCAAGGCAGGAGGCAGCAGTAGAATCCCAGACCACCCGGCTGAGCTGTAGGCACTGTACTAGGATGGATGCCGTTGAGGTTCTTTGTAGTGTCTGCTCTCCCATGCCCTGTGAGTCTCTGAGGACTCACGGAACTTCATTCAACAACTGACTTGGCACAAGAACCCAAGCTCTATCAGGGTGTCCTTTGCCGCCTCCCCTCCCTTCCCTGGTGCTGCGGATCATGGTCCCAGATAGGATGCAACCCAACAAGAACCCAGGCAGCAGGCTCATGTGCATGTCCATGTGCCACAGTGATGACCTTTGTCCCAGCCCTGAGGTCTGTGATGGCCAGTGAGGACCCTGAAATTGGGGTGCATTTGGAGTGATGGTTTGGAGAGCTGCAGATAAGCCGGTCTGGCCAAAACCAGCGTCCCGCTTGCCCAGCCTGGACAGTGTATTGCTATGATGCCATGCAGCTCCGAGGCCCACTGCAAATGCAGGCCAACCAGAGAGAGTCCCATGTCAGCCTGTGCCTCCTGTGCCTGCCAGGCTCTGCTGTGGCCTGCAGCTGGGCCGCCCAAGGCCCTCTGACCACTAAGCCAGGAAGGCCTGGGCAGGACGAGGCAGATGCTTCCTGGGTGCTTCCTGACAGTGGTGGGGAAGGGGGTACAAGCCCTGGGGCTGTCAACCCGCACCCTTGGGTGAATTGGAGAAACTTAGCCAAGGGAATTCTCTCCTTCCATCTCTTTCTCTGTTACACTGAGTGGATAATACCCAAGTCAGAGGGTGGCTGTGAGGGATTCAAGACATAATTCTGGGCGTATAGTAGAAGTCAATCACACACTATAGAGGGAAAGTTATTTCTAGTTATCAGAGTTGACAGTCTATCACTGTGTCGCAAATATAAAGATGAACACCAATTAAAAAAGCAAAGAATGATGGGGTGTGGTGGTGCACACCTGTAAATTACAGTTATCTGGGAGGCTGACGCAGGAGAATCACTTGAGCCCACAAATTCAAGACTAGCTTCAGAAGCACACAGTGAGATCTTGCTCAGAAGAAAGAAGGAGGGAAAGAGGGAAGGAAGAAAGAGGGAGAAAGGAAAAAAGAAAAGCAAAGAAAGTGCATTTCTCTGCCAGGCGTGGTGGCGCACATCTGTAATCTCAGCACTCGGGAGGCTGAGGCAGGAGGATCACTGTGAGTTCAAGGCCAGCCTGGACTACATAGTGAGTTCAAGGCCAGACTGAACTGCATAGAGAGGCCCTGTCTCAAGCCCCCACCCCCAAGAAAGTGCATTTCTTTGCTTTCCTATAATTTAAATTTTATTCTCTGCCCCATTTCTCAGGTAGCAGAAAGCTAATCCCTTCAGTCCAGGCCCTAGCTCCTCCCGCCTTTCCAGGGGCCCTGGGAAGGAGGAGATCACAAGACTCCAGGCAAGGGTGGGGCACAAGGGTGCCTGAGCCAGCTGCACTGGCAACTTCAGGGAATCCCTGTCCCATTGGTCACCTGTGCTCTTCCGGTCAGGCCACACCCGCCACAGTCGGTGCTCGGTGCTCTGGAAACCCTCTGGTACCCTGGCCACCTAGCTGTGCCCTGTCCTCAGGTCCGAGCCTCCTGTGGGCCCAGGCGCCTCTGTCCTGGAATCCCCCCAGTGCCCCCGCCTGGTCTGCCCTGCAGCTGGCTTCTAGTCGACTGCAGCGGCGTCCTCAGTGCTGTGTCCTCGGCCCACGGGCCAGGCTGTCCTGCCGCGGAGCCTGAGCCCCTGACCCCCGTGGGCCGCTCTCGCCTTTTCTGCGAGTCACCCCTCCCCAAAGGCCAGGCGTGCCCCTGGCCGGTGGGGAAAGAACAGGATGGGAGAGGAACTCGGTTGATCATTAAATCTACATTTCCACTGCATTGTGTTTTGCCAAGAAAGAAAAATCAGGAAGAACCAGGAAACCAGGGTGGAAACTTTCCCCAGCAGGAGCAATGTTGTTGAGGTCCCCCAGACCCCAGAGCTCAGTTTGTCTCCGGAGGACGCGCCCCCTGGCGGCGCCCGCTGAGCTTGCTGGGCCTCGGCGCTGGCTCCACGTCTGCCCCACGCAGCAGGTCCCCGCAGGTCCGCCCCCCCTGACCGGTTGTCTCTCTTGGTCCCACCCCGTCAGCACCCCCATTGAGCATGCGCCGGTGTGCACCAGTCAGGCCGCCTCCCCGCTGCTGCCCGCTTCTGCCCAGCTGCCTGCTGCCGCCTCTCCCAGCACAGCCTCGCCACCCCCGGCCACAGCTGCTGCCCGAACTGCCACCGCCTCCGCTGCAGTCCCCGGCTTGAGTCCCTCGGACGGCCCAAGGTAATGGCCCAGGGACTGGTTCCAGGGGACGGCGCCCCACTGAGGCCGGGCACAGAGGCAGAGACCTTGCCCAGCCCCCGGGGACACATCTCTAGTGACCCAGGTAAAAATCACACATGCACAGTTAGGTAACTAAGGGGCATTGGGTGGAAAGTGCTTGTTCCTAGAAGTCAGTTCGGGGAGGAGGAAGCCATCCTGTGGGCTGGGGCCACTGAGCTGGGTATGGAAGGGGTTGAGATTGGATTGGCTACTGGGCGCTAATTTGCCCACCTTCCCTTCCTTCTCCTCTCTCTTGACAGAGAGGCTAGGTATCTCCAGGGACATCTGGTACACCTGGCATTTGAATCTCTGCTCCCCAACTTCTAGTCTGCAACCTCAGACAGTGCCTTGACTTCTCCAAACCTCAGTGTCCTCTTCTGTTAAGATGTTTAAAATGACACATGGATTCACAGGGGTGGTGATGGGCAAAGTATATCTAAAACACACATGCAAGACACAAGTCTCCCAGTTCCTGGAAGCCAACCCAGGGCAGGGAGTGCAGGAAGTGGAGGGCATAGGCCGGATAGGTCACTCTGTGGCGGGCTGGCCCTGCTCTCTCTTCCTGAACTCCCTGGAGCTGCCCTGTTGGTGTTTGAAGCACAGCCCAGCCTTCATAGGCCCCCAGGCTCCCCAGGTCAGGATGCAGAGGTGTGGGGTGCAGGCTGAGGCGAAGTGGCCCTACCCAGCCTTCACAAGGGGTTCTCTGCCACCAAGCCCAGCCTTTCCCAGCCTGTCTCCAGCCACAGAAGTAAAGCCAGGTGGTGGTGCACACCTGTCATCCCAGCACTCTGGGAGGCTGAGGCAGGAGGATCACAAATTGAAACACAGCCTGGGGGCAGTTAGGCGGCTCAGCATGCCCTACCCCCGCAAAAAAAAATTAAAAAAAAAAGACTAGGAATGAAGCTCAGTTCGAAGACTCTGGGTTCCATTCCTAGTCCCACAAACAAATCAGTTTTCCTGGTTAGGGTGAGCAAGCTGCTGTCCCTCTCCCCACCAGGTCCTTCGAGTGTGGCCTTGCTCCTTGCACACAGGTGACAGTGGGAGGAGGGTAAGGAATGTCCCTGCTGTGAGGGGGCAGAAGCCTCCCAATTTGGAGCGGGCAGCACTAGATGCTGCAGCCTTGGGCTGTGCAGCCTCCCCTAGTCCTGCCGACCACAGCCTCCTAATCTGGGGGACATCCTCCACGGGGCCCTTCCTTCCCTCTGCCTGGATAAGAGGGACGGGGCTGGGCACAGCTCAGTGCAGGACAGCACCTGCCTGCCATGCATGAGCCCTGGGTCCATCCCAGTCCTGGGGAATAAGAGCAACAGGGCCTCAGATGGACTTGGGGAGAGCTGAGTCACCGGCAGGATACCGGCCGGAGCAGCAGTGGTTGGGGGACTGCACTTTGAGCCCAGGGACCTCCTCTCCTTGCACACTGGCTGGGAAGACACTGAGCTACAGGGACCCCCGAGGGAGGCAAACACACAGCTAGCCCAGCAGCATTCACTTCCTGTCCCCACACCGAGTGGCACAGGGCCCAGAGCTCCTGCTCAGACTTGCAACTTGTGGCCCTATCCCCCAGTGCAGGCCAGCGTCCCTCAGTAAGGTCCCTTCCGCTTCCTTGAGGCCCTGCTCTGCTGCTGGGCCTAGGGATCTCACCAGGGAAGAGCAGGGCCAGGAGAGGGGACACAGTGGCCCTGCTCAACCATGACCTCAGCACACAGGCCGGACAAACGTATTCGCCCCAGGCAGGGACACTGGCTTCCTGAGACCCCTCTGTCTTTGACTGCTCTGGCGTTGTCCCTTAGGGCTCCTATCACAGGGGCCTCTCCTGGACCCGGAGAAAGGAAACCCTCATCCTGCAGCTCTGCCTGGCAGGGACAGGCAGGCCCAGGAAGCAGGTGGAAGGAACACAGAAAGCTGCGTCTGGGACAGGGGTGTTTCCAGGGGTCCCCTTCTCTAGCGCCTCACTGAGGACCTATCTGTCCTGGCTGTAGCCCAGTGGGAGAAGAAGTGGGAACTCTGTAGGGGGTGGGGTATTTGCTGCAGCGGGGGGCAGGGGCTCCCCATTGGCATCTGACTGCCCCCGAACACCAGGAAGGGCCAGGGAGAGAGCCAGCTGTGACTCCCCATGGACAAGGTGACTTTTCTGGGTGTCCTGGCCCGGTGGGAGTTTCCTCCCTCCCTCCAAAGGAGCAGCCTCCACCCCCAGGCCACTCCCCAAGGGCTTCTCCAGGTTCCTCCTCCTGAAGTTCACAGTTGCAGGCCTGTGCCCCCCACTGTCCTTGCTGTAACGCTTCCCCTCTGTTCCAGGCCCCAGGCCTCCACCTACAGCCCTGCAGCTGCTGCCTCTGCGGCCCCGGCCGCTCACACGAGCTACAGCGAGGGCCCGGCCACCCCTGCACCCAAGCCCCGTGTAGTCACCACGGCCAGCATCCGGCCTTCTGTCTACCAGCCAGGTGAGTGGAGGGGCGGCAGGGTGACGACATGGTCAGCTGGGCCTGGGTAGTGGGGTGCAGGCTGGAGACATCCGGTTCAAGCTGGGGTACAGGAGGGCTCACAGGACAGAACTGGGGGCTGTTCCTCTGTGAATCTGGGCCTGGCTCAAGCTGGTGTGAAAAATAACAAAGCTACCACAGGCCTTTGGCCCGCCTGTCGCATTGCAGTGGGGCGGGTATAAGCTGCTCAACCTCTCTGGTCTGTGGTTCCCTCGGAGACAGGACCACAGCTCTCTTCTCACCAGTCCTGGGGGTGCCTCACAGGGGCTCAGGTTCATCCAGGCCCTCTGCTATGCTGGCCAGGTGGGGCCCGAGCCCCATGCCAGCAGTGGTGGCAGCCGGGCAAACCCCTTCCCCTGGCAGCACCTACTGATCGGCCCAGGGCTCGCCAGCCGGTACATGCCCAGGTTGGGGAGGTCTGTGTGTACTGGTGCACAGAGGGGCCCTCAGAGGCTCCGGGTATCCAGGCCGAGTCTGGGCACCGTCCTTCCCCATCCTGAAGGCTCAGGAGGTCCGGCCGGGTGGGGGGGCACTCTGTGTGCACCCGATGGGGCTGCCATGAAGGACACTCATGAGGGCACAGGAGATACAGGAAGAGATGGACGCGGGCCGGGAGCCACCAGGGACGGGGAGAGCAGGCAGAGCAAGGGCAGAGCTTTCATTCTGCGTGCTGGAAGCCTCTTAGGTAGGGTGAGATGGGTCCCAAGGGTGCCCCTGCGCCCCCTGGTGCCCTTCCCTGGGGGTGAGAGGGGAGGCCACCTGCTTTCCACTTTGAACGTTGTACTTTCAACCTACAGTATTTCTCTTTATGGTCACCTTGAATTATGGAAAACAATAGTGGTTTTGCCTTTGCAGTACTGATCTAAACATTTCCCCTCAAAATTATTACTACACACAAAAAGATTTTGATTCTTTTTTTAAAAAAAAAAAAAATAGGAGCAATTTTAGCCAGGCATGGCGATGCACGCCTGTGGCTGAGGCAGGAATATCCTTGTGAGTTTAAGGCCAGACTGGGCTACATAATGAGACAGGCTCTCTCGCTCTCCCTCTCTCTCTCTCGCTCTCCCTCTCTCTCTCTCTCTCTCCCTCTCTCTCTCTCCCTCACTCCCCCCCCCTCCATGTAGGTATAGTTTTAGGTTTATAGCAGAATTGAGTGGAAGGCACAGAGTTTTCTCATATACAGCCCCCCATTTACCCTACCCGCCATATGGCAAACTGATCGAGGGAGGACGTTACAGACTTGTTTGGGAAAGAACGGGGTAGTTCATTCTAAGGGACAGGGCAGGGGACAAGGAAGATTTTCTCTGGGTCATGAAAGAGTACTAGTTGGCCAAGCAGGCCCAGAGATAAAGAAGGGCGCACACAAAGCTGGGCGCGGTGGTGCAGCCTGTAATCCCAGCAGGGAGGGAAGCTGAGGCAGGAGGATTGGAAGCTTGTTTCGCCAGAGTAACTGAGACCCTGTCTAAAATGTTTCATTTTAGTGTTTTTTGGGGGGTGGGTACCACGACAGGACCTTGTGCTTGCCAAGAAAGATGCTGTGCCGCTGAGCTCTATCCCTGGCCCTAACGATTACATTCTTTGTGGGAAGTTGGTCATGTACATTACACATCTTTATTTTTATTTATTTATTTATTTTGGTACCGGGAATCAGAACCTTGCACTTACCAGTCAGGTGCCTGTGCCACTGAGCTACATCCCCTGTCTGAAATGAAGACACAAAAGGGCCAGGGCTGTAGCTCTGAGGTGGAGCGTCCCTGGGTCAGTCGCCAGTAGAGAGTGCGGGGTGCGGCAGGTCCCAAGTCTAGGCCCGGGCGTGTGACCCATTAAGGACAAGCTTGTGAGAGGCTGGAGCACAGAGAGTAAGGCAGACTAAAACGGGGCGGCACCACGCGCACCTCGTGAGTCCGGCCCGGTGCCCCGCACAGGCGCGCCCTCTGCGCCCTTTGGGAGCAGGGGCAGAGCTCCTTGGTCCCCACTGTGCAAAGGGAGGTGGCGCCGGAACTAGGGGCGCGAGGAGCACAGCCGACTGCGGGGCGCGCTTCTGCCCCGGGCGGGGCGGGGCGGGGCGGGGCGGGG